ACAGAACAAGCAAATAATACAACCTGTGATGTTCAACACAGACAGAATAGGTTTATAAAATATATTAGCGTATCAAAAGTTGTTACACCAAAGCAATTGGAGAGGTGATCCTATGAGGGCAAAGGTGAGAGACATGCTAACAACATCCTTATATTTTCATATAATGATCATCTTTGGTTTTATGCAAGTAGGGTTTGTCTGTGATATAGTTACCATCCTGCTTTCCTATTTAATGACTTGACATCCTATGACAATTATCATTATTTTTGTCCAATTTTCTCTCTGAACTGGCTGCGACACAGATCAATGCCTCTTACTGTCTTTTTTTATGGTGTAGTAACATTAGATACTGACAGCTGGAAAACTTAATTGGTCTGGTGACAGAAAATAAAAAGACTGTTCACAGTCACTTATTCTAACTGACCTTGCTTTTAAATCAAAGGTAAATGCTCATTCCATACCCAACGCGGTTTATACTGAAACTGAAACTGACAGCATCAGTTAGACACTTTGTTTTATACTGGATTACTATTCTTTATAAATGAATTATTGAAGCTGAAACAGGGTTTATCTGTCTGCACTGACTTTTTTTGTACTGGGATTTAGAGATATTATGTTATTTATACTTATTTTGTAAATTACATGTAAGTCAGACCACATGGTATTCACAATGAGTATTATTGATGAGTGAATGTAGACTGCAAAAGAACCCAAATACACTCTTCTAAACAGCTCAAATATGTCATTCAAATAAAGCCTCTTACTCTCTGAATAGGACGGTGCTTGATATGAAAACTAGCAGGGTTATTCCCTAAAGTGATAATTCAAAGTGATAATCAAATTTAAGGTAAATGTAGCCATACTGGGAAAACTCTCTAAGTCAACTATGATTCCAGCTTGGCTACTTTGGCCTGAAAGTTAGAATCCTGTTTGAATTCACTTTGAATTCTCACCCTAGTAAAACAGGGTAAACAGTAGTTGATCATTTGCCTTTAAAATGGTATGGTTACGTCACAGCAGAGACATGGCCAAAATATGCAAAACCCTCTGTTCTTATGTAATCAGCATCTCCTCCTAGAGATGCATTTCTATATGAGGAAAGTTCATGCAGAGGGTGGAGACACTGCCCCAGGAAGAACCTCTGGTTGGCATCTGAGGAGTGGTCAGTGGAGGTAACCCTAGGCTAATACAGAAAATACAGTGTTTACTGCAAAAAGCCTGAAGGGAATGATTCTACTCACCAGAACAAGTACAATAAGCTCTAGTTGTGGTGGACCATTGGTAACTCGACTGGTTACCCCCGCTATTACCTTCCTTCAGCCACTCTGGAACCATCAGCACAAGTATATACCCATTTCCCCAGTAACCAGACGAAACATAGTCCTGGGAGTCCACTAAACTGCACTTTATTGGAACATATATGGCTTTTTTGCACAGACCCCTACATGGGGTCTCCCTTCCAATAATACAGGGCTTTTCCACGACAGAAAAATATACAATTTTCTAAAACACTCCAAAAATATGTTTTTAAAAGGGGCTAATTTGATTACATGGGAGGTCAGAGCTTGCAATCTAAATTCCGCTTTGAAGCTGGGACCCCAACTGAGCCACTTTGCAAGGTGTGAGAAGTCACACACAAGTAGCCTGGAAGTCTGGCTTCAGTATAAACTAACTCTCTCACTTGATTTCCTCCTACATAAGGTATTCTTTGATATGAATAGTCATCAGCCCTCAAGAAAACCCCCTGTGCTCCAGTATCATATTAAAAAGACACTGACACTTACCCACAGATTAATAACTAAGTCTCATTTCTATTACATTCAGAATGGGAGAAGCACAATCTTCTAATCAAGTCCCAATCATGATTTGGGGACAAGGGGGAAAAAAACATACAAATGAGTAGTAGTTCTGCCACACAGCTCCCCCTTAACCACAAGCCAGCATACACAGTCTGATCCCAACGGATCGGCTTGTAAATGTCCAGGGGAGTACTCATTGATCACTTTACCAGTTCTGTCTGTCGTGATAACCCGTTGGCACTCCAATTTTGCTTACCAGGTCTATAATGAATAGAAAAGTCGTATGGTTGTAGGGCCAGGCTCCACCGCAGTAACCTGGCATTGTTTTTTACATGGTCTATAGTCCTTGGGCAGGAGGCTGGCCAGCAGGCTCCTCCAGGAGCTCATGGCAAACATACGAGAAAAGGAGCGTTTGCCACAGTAGTTGTTCTGGTGACTATAGTGTCCCTTTAAATAATTTCACGATTTATTGCTGAGGATTATATGTATTGGAGTGTAATTTTACTATCTACCAATGGACAATAACTTAAAATCTCAGAACCAGAGCTTTATTCATAGAGAAACTCACTCTGGGTGCAAACAGCCATATTACTTGTTTCACCAGTTTACTCTACACAGCCCTGGAATGCACAGACAAATTATTACACACAGTTTTGTTTTTTATCTTTCACATCATACCTTTTTGGACTGTCTACTTAAAGGAACACTATAGTCACCAGAACAACTACAGCTTAATGTAGTTGTTCTGGTGAGTATAATCATTCCCTTCAGGCTTTTTTCATGTAAACACTGCCTTTTCAGAGAGTATTTACATTGCCTCTAGTGACACCTCCAAGTGGACCCGCGCAGCGCTGGAAATAAGGTGAGTTTTAAACTTTTATAGGGGAGCTAAGGGGGGGCAAGCCACCTAAATGGTGGGTTAAAAACACTATAGGATTAGGAATACATGTTTGTGTTCCTGACCTTATATTGTTCCTTTAAACTACACCCTTGTCCCTAAAATATTTGGAGATGGATGTGAAGGACATATATAACAACAGACATGGAGACAAGAAAAAAATATTTATTTTATACCTTTTTGAAGAATTTGTCTTTTTTTCATCTGTCTATCCCCTCTAAAATGTCACTGGTTTTATCAGAAAATTTAGTTTTTTAAAAGAAAGTTTAGAAATGAACTAGAATTATTACAGGAGACTGGGTTTTATTGTAATTAACCATTTAAGGCGGAACTGTCATGGCCGAATCCCGTTTTTTTTAGCCCCCCTCCCGCGTCCACTACATCTAACTGACCCCCTACTCACCCCCAAATGCCCCTAAGCCCCCCAGATTACCTATTTTTAATCTTTATTTTCTGCCCGATCTATATTCAGGGCGCCGTCATCTTTGTGTGGGTAGAGGAAGTTCCTGTGGGACCACACTAGACAGACTGTGAGATTCTCGCACATGCCCAGTGATACATTTGGACATGCGAACAGGAATTTCATCTATTCATTCATTCGTCAGAAAGACGAATTAATGAAAAGCATTGTCAGACGAACAAACTAACACTGAATATCAGTGTTCATTCGTTCAGTTTATTACAAGGAGGGAGCTACCGGCACGCAGCTCCCTCCTTGTAATATGTAAAGATAAAAGCGGCAGGGAGCAGTGCTCCCCACCAGTTCCTAAGCCCCCCATGTCCTCCCTCACTTTATGGGGGTCAATATAACCTCCATAATAGCATAAGGGAGATTAAAATCTCCCAAATGCCCCTACTCGCTATACCGTGAGTAGGGGCATGTCTACTAAACAGTGAGCCGCATGTGGCTGCTCGCTATTTAAAAAAAAAAAAACCCTTCTATCTGGGCCCTAAATAACAATAAGGGGGACCTACTGTCCTCCCCCCGGCCCCCACCCCTGTGTGGCGAGTGGAGGCCCTAAAAAGCAATAAGGGGGGACCTACTATCCTCCCCCCGGCCAGCACCCTTTAGTGGTGGGTGGAAGCCCTATATAAGAATGGTGGGGGGAGACCTACTGTCCTCCTCCCTGGCCCCCACCCCTGAGTGGGTGGGGGCCCTAAAAAACCATAAGGGGGGATCTAATGTCCTTTCCCCCCGGACCCCACCCCTGAGCGGCAGATGGGGGCCCTAAATGAAAATTCACCCCCTCAATCCCAAGCCCATAGTCACCCCCTCACCCAAATAAAACTATCCCCTACCTACCCCCCTCACCCTAAAAATAGTGAGGGGGGAATAAAATAACTAACCTGTAAAGAAAAATTAAACGTACCATTTGACGTCTTTTTTTTCTAAAATCTTCTTTGGAATTTTCCCAAGCTGTGTAAAATGACACAGAGCACTCTGATTGGATGGCTTGAAATCTAATCAATCATAGTGCTCTGTGTCATTTTACACAGCGTGGGAAAATTCCAAAGAACTTTCCCACGCTGTGTAAAATGACAAAGAGCACTCTGATTGGCTTAAACCAACCAATCAGAGTGTTCTTAGACTAATTGCAGGGCAGGGGAAGGCTTTATAAGCCTTCCCCCGCCCTGCAGAGCTCAGTCTGCGCGGAGCCCGCCATGGGTAAAGATGGATTAATTTTTTTAGCGGCAGGTTTTTTCTTTTTCGTCTGGATTTTTTTTTTTGCGCTCTGGTTTTTTATTTTATTTTAAGTTCGACGGGTATGATGGCATTTTATTTGGCCTTTTTTGCGGCTGAAAAATGAAGATTTTAGAAAAATTAAGACGTCAAATGGTAAGTTTAATTTTTCTTTACAGGTTAGTTGTTTTATTTCCCCCCTCACTATTTTTAAGGTGAGAGAGGTAGGTAAGAGATAGTTTTTTTTGGGTGGGGGGGTGACTAGGGGCTTGAGACCCCTAGTCACCTTCATTGGGGGGGTGAATTTTCATTTAGGGCCTCCACCCGCCGCTCAGGGGTGGGGGCCGGGGGGAGCAGTAGGTCCCCCCTTATTGTTTTTTAAGGCCCCCACCCACCGCTCAGGGGTGAGGGCCAGGGGGAGGACAGTAGGTCCACCCCACCATTCATATATAGGGCCCTCACCCACCGCTCAGGGGTGGGGGCTGGGGGAGGACAGTAGGTCCCCCCTGTTGTTTTTTAGGGCCCACACCCACCGCTCAGGGGTGGGGGCCATGGGGAGGACAGAAGGTCCCCCCACCATTCTTATATTGGGCCCCCACCCACTGTTCAGGGGTGGGGGCCGGGGGGAGGACAGTAGGTCCCCCCCTTCTTGTTTTTTAGGGTGGGGGCCCTAAAAACAATAAGGGGGGACCTACTGTACTCCCCCCGGCCCCCACCCCTGAGCAGTGGGTGGGGGCTGGGGGGATGGACAGTAGGTCCCCCGGTTGTTATTTATTGCCCCCACCCACCACGCAAGGGTGGGGGCCGGGGGGAGGACACTTATTGTTACTTAGGGGGCCCCCACCTGCTGCGCAGGGGGGGCGGTTAGTAGGTTTTTGGCTGCTCACAGGCTGCTCACTGTTTAACATACATGCCCCTACTCGCGGTATGGCTAGTAGGGGCATAATTTACTAATGCTAAGTAATATTTACTTAGTAAATGTGGCTGAAAGACCAATTTAGGTCTTTCAACCTTTTAGTAGATAACTCCCTGATACCGTGGGAAGATGCAGCCACGGTAATGAATAGGATCAGAGTTTCATTCATTCGAATGGAGAAACTGTTAGATAGCAATTCGGCAGTTTTGCCAGCGTCCTGTCTAAGTGACAGAAAGCATCGTGGGAACATGGAGGAAAGTTAAGGATTGAGGGAAAATTGCTGTGACCACCGGAAACAAAGCACACTTTTCTCCTCCGCTGGTCACTGCTGGTCACGGCGTAGGAAACTTCCATAAGAGAAATAGTCCCTACTTAAGTTTTAAAGAAAACTAGAGCAGACAGGAAGAAATTAATAACAGATCCTGAGAGAGGGAGAGAAGAGGAATCGATTGGAGAAAGGTAAGTTCGGCATGAAAGTGCCCCTTTAAGGACCTACAGTGTTATTTACTAAATAAAGAATTCAAATTGAATTTCATTTTTTTTTTATCAATATAGCTAAACTGAAAAAATACATGTAAGCTAAGTTATTAGTTCGGTAACTTTGGCCTTAAGTTGTAAATTCTCTAAGAATTCACATTGAATTCTCACTTTAGTAGATAGCCATGGTTGTGTTTTGGCAGATTGATATTTATCATGGCATGCCTCAAATGGTTAATAGTGCTATAAATAAATCAGCCACAGTATGTACTTTACCCACCACTGTGACATGTTAAAAGGGCTAAACTGGCTATCGCTGGAATCCCGACGCACTCTTCATCTTTCCAGTCTTGTGCATAAGAGCATTTCTGGAAATTTCCCACCCTACTTGAGTAGAGTGCTCTCCACGGCTGTTCCAAACCTCCTATAACCTCCGATCCAGTACTAGCACGATATTTAGCATACCGCAATACAAAAATTAAGTGGCTCAATCCTCATTTTCCTACAGAGCACTGCAATTATGGAGTAACCTCAGGGACACAGGCAAATCTTCATTCAATCTAAAATCTTTTAAGAGATCTATGGCAATATACCTCAGCACAGAATGCACCTGTCATGGTTGAATATATTTATAACCTGTTATGTATTACATTTATATGTGTATATTGTTATATATTATATTGTTTGTATATTGTATTTTTGTAATATTGTATCCTATTGTTTTGTTTTATGAGTACTCCACCCTCCCCATTTCACTGCAGAAAGTGTTAAAAAGCATTGTACACACCTTTATTCTTACAGTCTTCTCTCGAGTCTCCTCATTGCTGTTCTGATCGGACTTGTGTCCAATCAGATGTTTCCCGTAGAGAAGCATTGGAACACAAAGCGAAAGCACTCACTACTAATTTGAACTACAAGTAGAAATCCGTCTCAGCAGTCGCGGTATGGCTAGTAGGGGCATAATTTACTAATGCTAAGTAATATTTACTTAGTAAATGTGGCTGAAAGACCAATTTAGGTCTTTCAACCTTTTAGTAGATAACTCCCTGATACCGTGGGAAGATGCAGCCACGGTAATGAATAGGATCAGAGTTTCATTCATTCGAATGGAGAAACTGTTAGAACGCAATTCGGCAGTTTTGCCGGCGTCCTGTCTAAGTGACAGAAAGCATCGTGGGAACAGGGAGGAAAGTTAAGGATTGAGGGAAAATTGCTGTGACCACCGGAAACAAAGCACACTTTTCTCCTCCGCTGGTCACTGCTGGTCACGGCGTAGGAAACTTCCATAAGAGAAATAGTCCCTACTTTTTCTTAAGTTTTAAAGAAAACTAGAGCAGACAGGAAGAAATTAATAACAGATCCTGAGAGAGGGAGAGAAGAGGAATCGATTGGAGAAAGGTAAGTTCGGCATGAAAGTGCCCCTTTAAGGACCTACAGTGTTATTTACTAAATAAAGAATTCAAATTGAATTTCATTTTTTTTTTATCAATATAGCTAAACTGAAAAAATACATGTAAGCTAAGTTATTAGTTCGGTAACTTTGGCCTTAAGTTGGAAATTCTCTAAGAATTCACATTGAATTCTCACTTTAGTAGATAGCCATGGTTGTGTTTTGGCAGATTGATATTTATCATGGCATGCCTCAAATGGTTAATAGTGCTATAAATAAATCAGCCACAGTATGTCTCAATAAGCAAATGGTGGAAAAATTGCTAGCTCTTGGGTTTGGCTTTTTTCCCCCTCTTATAGCCAGGGAATGCTGACAAAGGGATACTTGACAGGTTAATACAAATATATATTTCTTTTACCAATCAACATATATTCTACAGTAGTGTTCAGTAGTCAAACAAAACATACATATTGTTGGTGTAATTATTTTGTATAATCTGTGGCACAAAGGAAGAGCCCTGGTTATAATAGACTTCATTCCATTGATTAAGATAGAGACAGGTTAAATGTTTAGATATTTTGTGATACACACTGCAGTATTAACAGGCTAAGGGACATCATTTTTGTGCCCATTGAAATGAAGGCTTCTGTCTTAGAAAAGACGTCCCTTTGTGCCTTGGTAGCAATGTAATTTTGAGTCCACAGTGCTGGTTTTGTGTTAGTTTGTTCACAGCTGTCAGACATTGGTACTCCTCCAAATATCCAGTTCCTGGTTCCAATGCAGACAAAAAAAAAAAATTCTAGTTAGACACCAATTTTGTAATTGTTCATTATACAGCCACATGTTGTCTGGAAATAGGTATACTGCATTTTGTAAGCGATGAGGTTCAGTGTACTCTTAAGCAATGAAGCGGTTAATATTCTGTTACTTCGTAAATCCATGTGAATTTATAGGTTTGTTTGCTCAAACGAGCCATCTGATACTGTGTTTTTGCCAATACATGGATGCTATTTTAAAGCTGGAATTTTTATCCTCTGTTATCTCACATCGATCATGCCATATAACACATGGGAGTGAATGGCGCTGGCTGTGAAAGACATAATTTACTTGCCCAAATCACTCATACATTTTAGAAACAGCAAGAGTTAGTCCCTTGTAAACTGCTTAGTGCAGCCTGGAAACATGTAAATGTAGAATATGATTTAAGGTATCAATTTTAGACTATTTTATACAGAGCAGAGGGAAAGTGCTGGAACTTGGACTGAAAGCTGGCTTAAAGATAGAGTGATATCAGTTGATGCTAATAGAGAGTTCACAAATAAGAAAATGTCAATAGCTAAGTATACCAAGCTATCTTTAATGGTTTACGCTACTTCTCTTTCATATATTATTAATGATCTTGCAGAGAAGTGAAATCCATATTTTAGTGTGCGCTGATGGCAGAAAATTAGTTTAGGTACAATGTTACATCTCTGATCAGGGCTTGCACAAATTAAAAAGACTAAGCAGACAAGTGACAGATGAGTTTCAATGTGGAGAAATGTAAAAGTATGCATTTTGTAAAATAAATGTACACACGAAAAAGGGTTGCATTATAAAAATCAATAATCAGGAAGTATTTGGGAATAAATGTAGTCAACATATTTAGTCTCAGTAAAAGATTGCAAAGACCGATAAATTAGAGTAAGGAAACACAATGTTGGTCTTTAATATTTAAAAAGGCACTAAGGGAAAGAAATTGCAGCTTTGCCTAAAATGTATTAAAATGAATGAAATCCAATAGTAATGAAGATCGGCTAAAAAAAAGGTATGTTTGGTATATTTGTTTACTCTAAAAAAAAACTGCATCTTAGAGTTTATAATTAACACAAAGCAAAAACAAACAAGGCTAATACAAACAATTGGAGAACTGTTAAAGGAACACTTCAGTGTTAAAGGGACACTCCACTGCCCAATAAAAATAAAAATAATACTCACTATTTAGTAGATATACCCCCAAATAAAACCGTGCATGCATTAAATTATGCATTTTTTTTATTACAAAATCTGCAGTTTATGCTCCCCCAACTAAGATTTCTTCAGCTCTTTGTTAATCACTGTTTTCCACTTTGTTTTGGGGCGCAAAGTAATCAGAAAGAAGAACCCTACAGCTGTCTGATTCACAGCTGGGAGAATGCATTCCCGTCACTTTATAAAAGAGCTGACATCTTGTGATATGGGCACTGTTGTAAGGTGACAAAGAATGCATATGCTGATAACCCCTAAAGTGCTTCAATAAGGTTGTGACGTGTTCCTTCAGTGGGACTGAAAAATACAACAGGTTCTTGTATTCCAAATCTTGATGGGAGATTCATAGTACAGAAACAAAAATATTTATTTAAATTAACAACAATAAAGGCTGTCCTGATTGTAAATTAAATAGATGACTTTTAAGAAGTGCGGATACTTTCATTACAACTTCCAATAGAAAATGATTTAAACAGTACTTTGAAGATTATCAATTAGAACAATGAATGAAGGGAAGAATCACATTTTCATTTTATGACCAAAATGCAATTGTTTTCTCTTTTAAGGTAAATTTGCCAATTACTTCAAAAGTTGTATCTTAATATGGCTCAATGATAGCAACAGGGGTATGTGCACGGTTTCAACATATGAATCCAAACCTTATTTCAACCTACACTGTTACATTATTATGTTGCCACAGCCAAAAAACAAACAAGAGTCCTGCGCATCCAGTATAGGTGTGCACACCCAGGTGCTACCACAATTTATTTGAGGACAAAGTTTAAGCAAACATTTTGGGCAGCAGCCGCTTCTCGATGCTAATGTCCTACAGTATATGAAAGATCATATAGGACATTAGCATTGAGAAAGGGCTACTGCTTAAACTTTGTCCTCAAATAAATTGTGGTAGCACCTGGGTGTGCACAC